TTCCTTTTTTTTTTTTTTTTTCCCCCTCCTGTGGAACCAGGGATTGAACTCAGGCCCTTGCGCCGAGCCATCTTCCCAGCCCCCTGGATTTCCGTTTTAATTCGCGGGTAGCACATCCTCCAGAGCCTCTGCCTCTGCCCCTGGTGCCGACAGGACTCGTGCTGGAGTCCCCAGGCTCATCCTCCAGCTTCCGGTCGCTCATGGTGCAAGGTGCGGCCAGCTCCCAAGGAGCGCGTCACGTGCCAGTGAGAGGCGTTCTCTTTTTTTTTCTTTTTATTGGCGGAACATGGGACGGAACTCAGGCCCTTGCGCTCAAGCGCTTAATCTACTGAGCCATCTCCCGGCCTCCTGAGAGCTGCTTTCTGGAGAGAAGTACTATTGCACGAGTGCATAAATTTCATGCGTATTTAAATTTCTTGAGTCTGAGCTGTTGTCACATGCGGTCTATGCCTTCATCATTGATCTGCCTTGCAAAAGTCTGCCGCGCTTATGTGATCTTCCACAGCCACCAATCCCATTATCACATGCAGCTACCTGCATGGGCAGCATCTTCCCAGCTTCCCAGACCCGACTGGGACATCTCCTCCTATGAAAAAATGGTTCTGAGCTAGTTGATCCCCATGATGTCGGGCGGTTGTACTGCCTTCACCCGATGTCTTCCAGACTGGATCTAAGCACTTCAACCAGATGTCTCACGACAGAGCTCAGCTGTCCTGAGAACAATTCTGTGAACGTGTCAAGAAGCAGCAGTCATCTCTCACTGACCTCTAATGTTTCTGGCAGTGCTTGCCACATCATAAATGTTAAATAAAGATTTGATAAGTGAATGGTGAAAGAAATAAGCAGCATTTATTATTCTCCTCATTAGTGTTCTTTGTCTCCCTAGCAGTGATTAAAACAGGGTTTTATACAACCCTTCTCCTGGTGCTACTCCAGGCTTTTCACTCTAGGTCTTAGCTCAGAATGAGAGGACTACTCTCTGCGTTTGTGAAGAACCTAAATTCTTTATTTTCACTGTTATCATAACTTTAACTTCTCTTGCATTTTACAAGTCTATGAACAATTTTACAAAAGCACCTCCTTATCCCTTCATGTTTCCCTGACAGCTGTTAAAGTAGGCAGTAAGTATGTCAACAGTTTGAGCATTAGCAAGGATTTCAGATCAACCAACCACTCACCAAAGGACTTGGCTGCTTTTTTTTTTAATCTTGTTTTAATACAATGATGAATCCACTCTGATGATAAAGCTGTTCAGCCAATTCCTCAGAACACGCTTTGCAAAATCAGTGGTGATTAACAAATCAGTTAGCTTGGGCACAGAGCTGTGCTTGCTTGCCCGTGACAGCCTGGAAGCCAGTTTTGATACTGGCAACAGGGCATCGAGAATGACAAGTTCCACACTGTAAGAAACAGAGCCGGGTATTCTTCTGCAGAATTATATCCGGTAATCGGCATATGTGATAAGTGATATATTCCTTGATATATCTGCTTAAGACATTTTCTCTCTGTTTCTGTTGGAATTTCCCTTTGATTACAAGTTGGTTATTGCCACCTATAGAACCACTTGTACCCAATTCTGCCAATAAAAATGCAAGATGTTTGGGCTAACAATGTAATAGTTTACAGATATCTGTAAAGTCGACAAAAGAAGTTTTCTTGGTTCCTACTCAGGAAACCTGTGGAGGTTTCATGACAAATTTTCTTTTCTCTTCTGCAATCATATCTGGATTCTTTTCCCTCATGATGTTGAATACTTGAGTCAGTAGCTCTTTGTATGTGTAGTTTCTCTCTGAGCCTGCCCAAGCAGGGCCTGTCTGGTTACTGAATGAAAGAAATGCTATTATCTTTTTGGCTGTCTTCATCTTCTAAAGCTTCATCTTTTTCTAGTATTTTATTTTCACTTGGGAATTTGACATTCTTCTTTTTCTTCTTTTTATTTCCAAGCATAATATCAAGGTCATCCTCTGGTTCAGCTGGCTCTTGGATGTCACTTTCAATCTTAAAATCCTTTATACCAGGGCTGGAGAGATGGCTCAGTGGTCTAAAGCACCTACTTGGAACAAGCTTGGCAAAGCACAGGGACCGCAGTTCAATCCTCCAGCACCACATACCAGCCAGCCGCGCCCCCTGGTGGGCTGAGCTGGCCACACACACACACACACACACACACACACACACACACACACACACACACAATGTTAAAAAAAATCCTTTATACCTTCTTCCACTTCATCAATCTCAAATATCTTTTTTGGTTTTTTTTTTCTTCTTTTTCTTTTGATTAAAGAAATTCAAGTCACCTAGATCATCAGAAGCATCTTTCTTCCTACTGTCCCCTTCATGGGATTCCACGTCCTTGTCTTCAGTTGGTTCTGGTTCTGCTTCTTCTGTTTCTGAGGGCTGGGTTTCTCCCATCTGGGCATCCCCTTCCTCATCTAACATAGAAGGCTTCTTTTTCTTCTTGCTCATAGTACTATCAAAAATCATCTCATCCCTGGACATGGCTAAGCTCACGTGGACTTGGCATAGATAAGAAGTGAGACGGGTCAGTCCCAGGCCCGGGCGTCAGCGCTGCTCCTCCTGATACTACTAGAAGCACCACACTGAAAATAAATTCTTATTTGCCCACCTCCCTGGCCTTTGTATAATAATGTTATACGTAGAGTAGGTACTCAGGACTGGGCATGGTGGAGTAATCCCAGTGCTGTGGGAGGCTGAGACAAGAGCGTCTTAAGTTCACACCCAGCCTGGGCAACTCAACAAAACCATGTCTCAAAATGAAAGGAGTGTAGCCCCTTTCCCTTCTGCAAAGGATCCATCTCCCCACTGCCTGCTATTTTGCCCTATTTGTATTTTTGGTTTTTCATGAAAGAGAGGCCATGCAATTTTAGGTTTGTGTGTCTGATTTATTTAGTTTAGCATTATAATCACAAAGTGCATCCATTTTCCTACAAATGACTCAAACAAAAGGAGCTAGAGGTAGCTCAGTATAAAGACCCTGGACCCACAAACACACAGAGTACTTCATTACTTTCTGATGAAGTTGTGGACTGATTTGTTTTAGAACATTCCCAGTGTGTTTATTTTCTTTCTTGCATGACTTCACGGCACATGACTCTGCTCTCGTGGGGAGTTGGTACCAGCACACCTTACTTGTCCTTCACCCTCTTCCCACCCCTTTCCTCCTCTCTTCATCTCTTGGCCCCTCTCCCTTCTGCAAAGGATCCATTTCCCTACTGTCTGTTGTCTGCCTGTTATTTTGCTCTCTTTGTATTTTGGGTTTTTCGTGTAAGAGAGACCATGCAATATTTAAGCATGTGTGTCTGATTTATTTAATTTATCATTATAATCTCAAAGTGCACCCATTTTTCTGCAAATGACCCAAGTTTATGTTTTTCATGGCAGAGACATGTACTACTGGGTATAAACACCGGACTTGCCTCATCAGTTCGTCTGTTGGTGAATGTGCAGGCTGCTTCCAAGATGTAGCTGTCGTGTGTGGAGCTGCTATGGATGTGAGGGTGCATGTGTCACTGTAGTAAGATGTCTTCAACTTTTCTTTAAATTTTTATTTTATTTTTAAAGACAAAATAAGGAACAGAACAATATCAAGTACGACATGTAATTTATTTTTAACTTTTTGATTAACATGTATTCATTGCTATTAATGAGCTTCTGTGTGATATTTTTAGTTTTTTAATGTTTGATTTATTTATTTATTTAGTACAGTCTTGCTACCCAGCTCAGAGCCATAGTGATCCTCCTGTCTCAACCTCTCTAGCACTGGGATTACAGAAGTGAGTGTGTGACCATGTCCAGTTTTGGTGGCTAACACAGAGTGCTCAGGGTTCCAGGGCAGGCTTGATATGTGGTACTGGGGATTGAACCTAGATCCTTGAGCTTGCCAGGTGGGTGCCTAAACCTCTGAGCTATCTCCCCAGGCCTTCTGTGTGATATTTTAGTACTGGAACACAGCATGCACTGATCAGATCCAGCCTTCCTTTATCCCTCCCCACCTCACCAGTTTCTAGCAATCACTACTTTACATTTTCTTACCCTTTCTTAAATTTCCACATGCAGTCCGTCTCTCTGTGTGTCTGGCTTATTTCACTTAGCCTAATGTTTTCCTGTAGTCTAAATTGTAACCGAGTTTTGTCTTATTCTGAAATCTAAGCATGTGTTTGAGAAATTTTAATCAATTTATGCAAACCCTAGAATATGTAGAGGTGCTTCATGACTTCCACAAGAGGCAAAAAAAACATACATACAACACACATATGTACACACACACACACACACACACATGCACACACACTACTAACAAAGCTTTATCTTTTTGTGTATTTCTTTTTATTTGTTTATTTATTGGATAAAAGGTCTCAGTAGACAGTTCAGACTCATATTGATCCTCCTGTCTCAACCTCCCCAGATCTGGGGTTACAGGTATGCACCACCACACCTGATTTCAGGGCCAGCACAGAATGTGGTACTGGAGATGGAACTTGGGTCTTTGTATTTTCCAGGCAGGTTCTTAGACTGCTGAGCTATCTCCCCAGCCCCATATATTTCTTATATTGATATTTCAGAGAGATTTTATTGGAATAAAATGTTCTGATAGCAAAAAAAGTTTGCTTCCTTTTTTTAGGAAGAGGGTCTTGCTATGTCATTCAATCCAGGCTTGAACTCACTATGTAGCCCCACTGGCCTCAAACTCCCGGAAGTCATTCTACCTCAACCTCCCAAGAGCTGGGATTACAGATGTGTGCCACCATGCCAGGCAAGAAAAATAACTTTTTGTAAACTATAACTATACTAAAGCTTGAATCCATATTCATGAACAAGTCTGTCACCACTTTTCTGGAATAAACATGGAATTATTTGCCCTGAATTCTACAGGGGTTTTGGGGACAGCCCCACACTGTAGTTGGTAGTGATCTGTATGCCTGGTCTTCAGTACGGCTGGGTGAAGGTGCTGGAATTTTCCAGTGGAGGCCACTGATCAGCTGTAGAGAACATAGCACACACAAGGGTACTGGTGTCCTAGTTAGAGGCCACCAATGAGTAAGATGTTCTTCTTTTGCTCTCTGGCTTCTGGTCTCTTCATGTGACCTCTCCCTCTGGTACACACTCACCTCACTAGAACCACCCACCATGAAGTTCTCGCTAGAGATCAAATCTATGGGGATGATGCTTACTCTTAGACTTTCAACCTCCAAAACTGTGAACCTTGAAATTGAAAATACTTTTATTCCTTATAAAGTATTCAGTCTCAGGTAATTTGTTATAACAATGGAAAACTGACTAAAATGCCTGGTTTGCCATTAATTTGGGGACTAAAATTTATATAGAAATTTGTTTCTACGAGATGCATGGGATGAACTAGTCTCTTGGAGTGTTTTCACACAGTGCCAGTATTTGGATCAGAAGGCTGTGGAATATTTTCCTGTTTAAAATTGCTTTATCCCTGGGAGGTAGCTTTTTGGTTGTAGATATGTGAAAGATGAACTAAATGTTCAATCATGCTACCTAGGAAAACTTAAAAATCCATAGATATTAATTTCTTACCTTGCATTATTATGAGTGATCTTATTACTCAGAAGCAAAATAATAATGTATATTTTCTGTTTTTCACTCATGCAAGAGTGTAGAATTATCCCATACAGCAAATGTAATTATCCCGCCTTCTAAATCTAAAAAGTTTTATTCAACCGCCATAAGCATATTCAACAAAATTCAAGTGGGGGAAGTTACCTTCTATTTAGGGAAAAACTATAATCATCTTTTTAAACAATTCGTCCAAAAAGGCTGTAGAGTCTGATGCAAACTTCAGGCCAGGTGTGTGTCCTTTGGCTCATGCTCGCTCATAAACCCTGGTAGAAGTGACTCCATTCATGACACACTCCTAGGTGCACAAGCAAAAAAAGAAGAAAACGAGGAAGAGTTGTAGATCTTCATGGTTCTACACCATGGGTTAAATTATATTTCTCAGTGTTTAAAAGGTAATGACAGTTTTTCAAACGATATTTGTTTTGGATATGCATATGATTTAGGGAGACACAAAGGCCAAATACAAGTCTTCCTCTAGGAACCTGATAATCTTTCTTGGAAGTGGATAAGACCAGCAGAAACATACAGCTCAATGCACTTTGAAGAGAGAGAAGGATTGCCTGGACTGGGAGCCAGCAGGGTGGGGCTGAGCACCCCAGAAGGAGCAGAGAGGGCAGCTCTGTGGAAGAGTGCGTGCTCGGCAAGCGGGAGACCCTGGGTGAAATCCCCAGCCCCAAGAAATCAAGCAAGTAACCCTAAAACAAAATCAACAACCAAAGAAAGAAAACGCAAACCATGAACAGCAATTGCCAGAGTGGAAAAATAGTTCCAAATTACCCTTTTGTTCTCTGTAAGAAGGGTATTATTTTCCTATCTAAGTTCTAAGAAGGTGTACCCTACTTAGCTTCAGAGATAAACAGTTGAGTCAGGTAGCATTATCCGAAGCAAAATAACGATCTTTAGATAACCTAATGGTAGCACCTAGAAAGTACTCACCACCACCAACTTGTCGCCCTCACGTTTTCTTGTTATGGTGGTTGATTTTCCATCCCATTTCTGCACCTGCACCAGGGCACCGCCATCTAAGGTTATGATGCTCTGTAAGCACAATGCAGAAGGATTGCAATTTGTATATGAAGGCCAAAAACAAATTTAAAATGCAACACATTGGTTCAAAAAAATATTGTGAGATCATTAGCAATTCTAAATCACAGTGATACATTGCAACAAACCAACAAAGTCTTGAGAACAATAGCATACAACATATATTTATATGTACATAAATTATGTTAATCAATTTTAAAACTATAAGGACAATTTAATAAAAAGGGAGGACAAACTTGATTACATATCAGAAACAGTGTGATCTAGGTGTCAGAATTCCGGGTCTCTGATGACAGAAGTTGATCCCCTGCTACTATGAACCTGTTGTTATGAAGTAGTTTCCAACAGGCAATAAGAATTTAATAAACAGGTGTTCACTTTGCATCAATTCCTTAGTCTTTACCTTGGCTTTCCTGTCATCTGCGGTGAATTCATCAAATTCCTGGCCCAGTTTGAAGGAAATCTCAGTATTTTTAAAGGTACTTTCTGACCTAATGGTGAGCACATCTCCATTGATACTGATGATCATGTTGGGTTTGGCCATGCCAGCCACTTTCCTGGTGGCAAAGCCCACTCCTAGAACGAGGAAAAGAATAAAGGCAGGTTTACATTTCCTCTCCTTCTTTGTCAAAAAGTCAGAGCGATGTGTGTGGACACATCTGTGAGCACGTGAGATCAGGGTGCAAGGCACCATCAACTTTCTTCAGGCCTCCCTCAAGAGCTCCTGAGGATAAGCGCATCACGAAACAGCCAGGGAACACTTGACGTGCAGTAGGCATGGTGTAGGGTTATTCTTTTCTTGTCCTTAATGTAATTCCTCTGAAGACTGTTGCTAATTTTTGGTAAGAAGGTATACAGGATCAAGTCTTCCAATATAGAGATATTTTCCCACTATCATTTTCTCTATGAGCCACTCATGGCAAACTTGACCATTTCATCTCTCCTTAGATATTAAAATGATATTTAAAGTTAAAGGCAGAATTTTGAGGCTAATATAGTCATTCAGTTAGAAGACTATTTTGAGTGTATAAAAATCACATTTCCTGTCAGTTACTGCCAAGTGTAGATTTCTGAGCTTCTTTCCCAAATTATTGCACTGTGCAATAAAGATTGTAATTTCTCCAAAAAAGACAAAAATGTTTTCCATGTTTATAGCATGTTACAGTGAAGACAGCGTTCCCAGTAAACTATAGAGAATATTAGAAAAACAATGAGGTTTCATCTGTGAAAACTTTGAAATTCAAGAAACTGATGTCTTACGTCAGCATAGTTTGATTCTAAGGTAAGTTTAGAATAATTTGAACCTAAGTTACAAAGTGGAACATGTATTTATTGAGAAATGTTAAATATGTACCTTATGTGATATACCTTTTTACAGCAGAGAGTAAAAGAGGGATATATTTTCTAGTGTAACGTATTGGAGCAGCAATTTACAACCCTACACAAACAATGGTAACGTGACACTGCCTGTTATACAGAATTTCTGACAGCCATAGACTTGCTGAATTTTGCTCACACACATACACACATACACACACCAAAAAAAAATCTAGGTTATTTGATGGCAAGTGACTAAAGGTTAAAAATAGGGAAGAGCTGAAAGAGAAATTATGAAAAAAACAATGCTGTGGCTCTGATGTAGGTTTCTGTTTGAGCAGTCGCTGCAGTGGGGAGACAGTGTATTGCTTCATATTGCCCCTGCTCTGTTACAAACTACAACAGTGCACGTCTGCTGAGGAACAATGTAGATAATGGATAAAACATGAAGTGTGATTGGAAAATGCTAAGTTGGGAGCAAGTGTTTCTTTTTCTTTTTTTTTTTCTTTACTTTTTTTTTTTTTTTTTTTTTTTCTTTTTGGTGCTGGGGATTGAACTCAGGACCTTGCGCTTGCCAGGCAGGTGCATAGGCCAGTGAGCCATCTCCCTGGCCCAAGTGTACTTTCTTAATTGACTGCCCACTCATCTTGCCTTAGAGCAGCCAGCTGCATTTGACAGGCATCAAGTGGCTTTGAATGACAAGTCTCTGTTAATCAAATCCTTGCATTTTTCTAGTGCTATGTATTTACAGCTAGTTGATATTCTGGAAAGTTATGTCTTTCTCATGCTGAAATTTCTGATTTCTCTCTGCACTATAAACAAGAAAAGAGTAGTTACAGATAAATAAAAATGTATACTGTACAATTGAGGATTATTTTGAAATTGAGGAGATTAGATCCCAAACTCTAATAAGATATGGTGTAAAGTTCTCTCCAGCGTAGTCATCTTGGATCTCACTTTGTTACGTATGAGGGTTAGGAGAGAAAGGACTTTCAAGCCGAAGCCAGAGGAAGAGGTTGTCTCTCGACCTTCATTGCTATAGTGCTAAGGCGACCTGGCATTCACACAACAACACATTGACAACATTAACAGAGTCTAAAACTTTGCAAGCCTCTACTATAAAAGGGATAATATATCACATATGTTATATATTTAACGTTACTCAATAAATACATCTGCAACTAAAAATCACATGGGAGAAACATTTAAGCCCCTTAAGGAACATATTGTCTGAAATTAACATTGTGTTTGTCATAAAACAACCACACATGTTAATGGATTGATATTGAGACTGTTCAACATACATTTAACAAAATGCAAAGAGAAATACAGTGGCTTCAAGTTCTGCATACTACAAATAAATATGCTTCTCTTTCCAAGTTATTGTATATTTTGTATGGGAAAAGGGAGTGAAAAGGAAACAGGGTGAAAGAACCACGTAAACAAATGAAAGTAAAATATTGTAATTAAACTAAAATCCTGTTTTTATATAGTCCATCAAAATTTTGTTTAGGTCCTTTTTAATACTGGTTCACCTTTAGGAAGCATAGGCTATAGCTCTCACTCAGAAAATTTCCAGAAATAGACTCTCACCTGAAACTTCTGCAGCCTTTGTATAGAAAACAGCATTGTCACTTCTGGCCACTGCTTACAGTGTGAAAATCCAGCTATAAGCCTTCCCCACCCAGAGAAAAACTTACAAGCCCAGTCACCCCGTGACACATTTTCTTACCCACTTCTTTCATGTAATCATCAAAGTTCTCACTGGAGACGAGTTTCCAGGTACCTACAAATGCGTCACACATTCTGTGAGCTTTCTGGGTTTATTCTTTCAGGTGAGAAAGAGGCTGCAGTTTTCAGGAAGGTGCTGTGGCCCTCTTGAGTCCAGATAACACCCTTTTAAAGACACTCACAGCATGTGACTGTGAGAGTAACCAATTGAGAAAGATACCAGATCATTTCCTTCATTGCCAGCCTCTGTATTTTTTTTTTTCTTCTGAGTCATGTTTTTAATAGAAATTTCTCAACTTTGGTTCTCCCTGGCAAATGGTCACTGGACTTGGAGTACAAATTATTTTTAACCACAAACAGAATATTTTAGAAATTCCTGATTTCACTGTTTAATGGTCAGTGACTTGAATTTCCTCCTATTATGTCCATACATATGTATCCATTGTAGAGGGGGACAGTTACCTTGGAATGAGCTATGACCCTTGTTCTCTGAGCACCTATTTTATTAACATTGTAATTGTGTAGTTCACTGAATTGAGGAACATAAGAATTATCTTGGTGATCCTTAGATAAAAGCAAAGAATTCTTAAATAATTATCTCTTTGGACCAATACTGTCTCAGGAATTACCTGACAGTTAAAACAAAATGCATAATGCATTTTAAAGTGCCTCAGCTTTCAAATTTCAAATGTTAAATATAAATTTGAAAATTTCATTTATCTACCAATAATCTAAACTGTAGGTTTAATTAAAATATTGATTTAACCTGACTTCCTCCATCTTTATGTGTAGTATAAAATACATACCACATTTTGAAGTCAATATTATAATATAATATACAATGTATACTGAAAAATTCTCAACTGACTATATGTTAGAAAGATAATAGGGGCTGGTGAGATGGCTCAGTGGTCTAAAGCACCTACTTAGAACAAGCTTAGTAAACCACAGGGACCACCGTGGTTCAATCCCCCAGCACCACATGCCAGCCAGCCCCGCCCCCTGGTGGGCTGAGCTGGCCACACACACACACACACACACACACACACACACACACAAATAAATAAATAAAAATTTTTAAAAAAGAAAGATAGTAGTTAAGATATGTTAAGTGAAATACACTACTTCGATCAACCTATTTCTTTTTACTTTCTCAATATGACTACTAGAAAATTTTAGACTACTTAAGTGGTTCACATTCTACTTCTCTTGGAAAAAAATTATACCATATTAAAGTTCTTTTGTTTATTCAATACGTGAATCAGGTACGATGCTAGTCCCTAGGGACTCCATAGTGAGCAAGGCACACCAGCCCTTGCTTGTTCTCAGGAGCTTACATTCTAATACTGGAGAACATAATATCCAAAGAGACAAACCAATAAACCTGTTGCTCCTACATAGTGCTGTGCTTTAGAGCAAATGGAACAAAGTAATGTGGTGAAAGGGCTGCTGTGAAAGTTGGCTGCACTAGAGACCTTTCAGGAAGGTCCACTGAAGGAAGAGGATGATGTATTTAGTACAGGGCCTCACTATGCAGCTTGCATTCACAGTGTTCCTCCTGTGGTCAGTCTCCCCAGCATTGGGATTACAGGTATATGCTATATGCTACCATGCCCAGACTCAGTTGCTGGCTCAGTGTGCCTCAGGGACGAGGCCTGTGTGGCATGTGGGATCAGGGACTGAACCCTTGTCCTGGCACTTGTCAAAGCAGGTGCTTAGTCCACTGAGCTAAGGAAGTAGATGATGGATTTATCACCAAATGATGGAAAGACAGCCACAGAAAGAGCAGGAAAAGAGCATTCTGCTGGCTTGATTCACCTTCAAGACAACACAGCTGGGGAGAACTCCTATTCCATGACAAATGTTTAGATAGGTGTTCCCGGTGAGCCGAGACCAGACAGAACCCATTAAGACAGAAATGTCTGTTCAGGTTCCTCTACTGTTAGAAGCCAAATAACTAAATATTCAACAAAATACACAGAGGAATGATAATTAGGTAAACTAGTGAGAGCCTATCACTACTCTTATTTTTAAAAACTTCAAAAATATTTCTGTGGGCCAGGAACATCATCTTCCTATGTCAACATATTTCAGGCATGATTATCATTGAGGAAATGGAATAGTTGAGTTTTTTTCTAGAAATAACCCCAGGTATTTAATGGCTTAATGGCTCTGTATAAATAAGAACAGTTGTAATCTATAGAAAAATGTCTTGGCAACTTAAATAGCAATGAAAGAATTAAAGTAGGAGAAAGCTGTTGAGGCTAACTGAGAAGACCTCACGTTATCACTTGTGAAAAGTAATTAAACAGGCTTAGTAGACAGTCTTACCTGAACGGATGTTAAGTTTAGAAGCAGTTAAGTTTATACTCACAGCTCACAGGCCATCCATGGAATAGCAATACATTCTCGCTATGTATGAGGCCCCTAAGTTATGTCTTGTGTAAGGACAGACCTTTCAAGACAATAAACCACTCCAAAATTTAATGGAGGGGTCCATACTTCATGCTCTGGAGTGTAAACAAACCAAAGCAACTGTTCAGTTCTTCCAGAAATTATTTTCATCTGTCTTTAAGACTTGAGGACATGGATAGGATGAAATATTTTCTTGTCAGATCACTGACATTTTACCACAGCGCGAATGGGCTGCTGTGTGTATGAAGTAGTACAGAACAAGCAGAAGCATTCAACATGCACTTTTAGTGCAATAGTCTATAAAGAATATTTTCCCTAACCATTAATGAAGACAATTCAAATTAACCAAAATTTAAGTAGTCTTCAGTTCTTTAAAGCTAGATATCATACTACTTACACTTTCAAATATTGTTTAATTATACAGTTCATATTGACAAATAATTTTCAAGAAATATTTTTTCTCCTGCTGTGCTGAAGGCGCTATGCTACTTGGAGTAATAGAATATAAATAGTAAGTAAGACATGACTTCTGACTTCCTTGAATAATCCAACTTTCCATTTTAGTGACCAGTCTGAGGCTAAAGTAAAACACAGAGCCTCTTTTAAAGTGTTTCATTTTAATAATCATGTTGAAATAATCATTTTTTATGAGACTATTGCTGCTCTACCAGTTTTTCAACTTTCAGAATCTTATATTAGCACATAAGCCCTGTAGGAGAAACACTCATCCCCTCCTGTCTCGCATCCCTCACCTTTCTTCTGTTCTGAACTTTGTCCCATGCATGACTTAAAGATCCTAGCATCTTGCTCATTCATCAAAGAATGGCATTAATGAGCTAATTAACAAAAGGAACCAACTAGGAAAGTAGGCTATAAATTCATGATTTATGCTCGTGAATGTGTTTTAAACCAAGAAAGCCATGGATTTAGATGAATTTTGGAAACATAGTAGCCCTTGGAAGAGTGACTCTAGCGATCAGAGTGGGCAGATACAAGTCCATTCAAGGGGTGTCGCAGGTCTGAGCACAGGACACGGCAGTGAACTGATGGGACAGCGGTGGGAAAAGTTGACAAATTACCCAGAAAGATTTTAGAATATTGCTTCTTTCTAGAGGGGACTAACATCCATAAGTATGGTGCAAAGGAGACAATTTGTCCTTGATTATGAAAAGAATTTCTACAGCAACAACTACATTATTGATACATGTTTAAATAACAGCAAAAAAAAAAAAATAAAATAAAAAATAAAAGTCACACAGGACAGGATGCTTCCGCGGCATCGCGAGAAAGCGTCTGCTGGGGCACGAGCCTCTCTTTGCTTTGGACTCATGAATCTGGGCGCGAGCCCCTGACACTCATTACTGACTGGGACAGGCACACCGGGCTGGGCTGCTTGCCCTTTGTCCTCCAATGGGCAGCTTACCCGGAATGCCTCCCTCTGACCTTTTCCCGTGTTTATTTCTTTTGGAGGAAATGAGAGTTTTTTTGTCTCACAATTTTTAAGTTAAAGAGGAAACATACCTCTTTCTGGATAACAAGGAGCAGAGACAAATCCGTAATGAGTTTTCAGTGTGCGTTGGTAGCAGGATAGGTAAGGGTTCATGCTGAGGCTCCCTGGTATTTGAAGCAAAGTTCCCTTATTAAAGCGTTCTTATTACCTAAGTCCTGGGGTTCGTTAGAAACCTTAGCAAGGAACTTATGCATGTTGTGACTCTCAGTCCCCCATGAGAACATTTAATATAGAAATTGTTTTACATATTCTATCCTAGATATAAGAGGCAAAGTCAAAGGCAACCCTGTGTAATTCTGAGTATCATTCATTGTATGTATTTACAGTGACTGATAATGATCCTGGGAGACTCTTGACTCTTTGACTTCAAAATGGTGATAGTTTTGAGAAGAGTGAGTAAGCTACAGCAGGAGGTGGCTAATTACAGACTTGAAGTCGGTTGTGTAACTTCTTCACTTACCCTCTTACTCATAAAAGAGATTCTTCACGCATGACACAGTGGGTGTAAGTAGAGACCACTGAAGAGCTGAAAGGGCACTTTCTCAACACAAACTGTCACCTGCTTTGCCTTATTCAGTGAGGTAAACAAGATGATGAACTGTGTGTAGGCAGAAGTGGACCAATCCACTAGGTAATCCAAAAGGGAATGTATGGGGCCAGTGAGATAGCTCAGTGGACTAAGCGCCTGCTTAGGCAAGTGTGAGGCCTGGGGTTGGATCCCGGGTACTGCATGCTGTACAGGCCCCACCCCTGGGCATGCTGAGCTGTCGAATGAGTCCAGGCGTGGTGGCACACAGCTTTAATCCCAGCCTTGGGGAAGCTGAAAACAGGAGGATCACTACAACTCTAAGATTCATAGTGAGACTGTGTACCAAATACAGAAACACACACACACACACACACACACACACACACACACACACACTTTGTTCCCTTCATTGATTCACATAGCATTAAGTTATTTGTCTTCTAATTTCTGCCTATGAGCCCTCTGGGAGTAGGCTGGGTTTTATCCATCCTGCATATCTCAGGCTTAGTATTACTCATGTTCTGTAGTTCTTCATGGAGTTGGAGAAAAAAATAAATTGCATTAATTTGAATCATATTAAGACATAAATAGCGGACAGCATCATATTATTGAAAGTATTTGCACTACAAAGAAAGAAGCTGATTGGATCCTCAAAATTGTGTGTAACAGAACAAAGAAGACGCTTTAGTTTGGGGCAGTAGAAC